TCAAAAGGAAAACGAAAAACTAAAAGAGGAAAATAAATTTTATGGTAAAAGAAGCGCCGACAAACCCGAGAGCTCTACGAAACATTGTGACTCTTGCATAGCTTTGATAGAACAAGTTGCTGAACTAGAAAACGCGGTGAAGAAATTTAATAAACCACATAAGGATCTTAATCTCGTTTTTGATTCTATGCAATACACTAAACAAGGAATAGGTTTTGGGAAGATTGATGAACCTAAAAATAAAGAAAAAGTTGAGCACAACCGTAAACCACCTAGAGCTCAACCTAAGAAAGATAAAAATAAAAATAATAGACAACCTAGACAGAAGGTTAGTCATGAACACGAGCACTCTAGGCAACCTAGGAGGAATTATCAAAATGATTTTATGGACACAAATAATTTTTCAAATAGACAAAATAATGCTAGAACACCTAGAAGAGAGAATCTTCAAAATACCCATAAACCAATATTTTCTCAAAATAGGATGAATATGGTTAGACCCCCTAGCTATTACCAACCTAGGCATATGTTCAACCCAAATGTAGTATGCCATTATTGCAATAGGGTAGGACATATAGCTCCCGTGTGTTTCACTAGACATAGGCACTTGACCTTTAATGAAACACACACCATATTTAGTGCTGACGAAAAGAAATCCTTTGGAAAAGGATATTCGAATCATAAACAATCTCCATAGGATAGTGCACAAAAGAAACCGTATTATTTCTTCTACTTTGACGAAAAGAAGAAAGTCCACATTCCGTTACCGGAACCAACACAGACCACGCCGAGATACCGGCACTCCGTTCATGTAGACTGGAACCCGCCAACCACTAGACAATGGGTTGGCCAAGGTAACTCCTAAACAATCATTTAATTTTGTGTGTGTGTGTGTGTGCGAATTTTGTGTGTGTGTGGGCAATAAAGGTCAACTAACCCCCAAGGACCCATAGACATACTTTGGGTACCAAAGTGTTATTCTTTTTTGCAGGGACGGTTCAAAGTGAAGAATTCTGGAAATCAGGGGGAACCAGCGATGTGTGGGCAATACCATCGCTGGGAGGGAAGTTTTCTTTTTTCAGAACCCCTCTTCCCATCGATGGGTGCTTCTTCCCATCGATGGGTAATTGACTCTATTTTTTAAAAACCTTTTAACGG